AAGATAAAATGGTAAACATATCAGGTTAATGAATGAACTATGACAAAATAAAAGTGGAATAATGAATAATTAACATCAAAACAAGAAAACAAAAGAAAAATCAGATTTGCAGAACCACAAATACAGCATACAGTGTCGTAGAACAAAGTAACTTCCTCTGGTGACGGAGAAGTAAGATGTCATTGCAGACTCAGACCTGTCCACCACTTTCAAACGAAGAGTCCTAAAACTCCACTCAACCATGAGTTTCACTAGACAAAGGAAGCATGGTTTTAGGCCTTGTATGACCGCAAAGTAAATATGTGTTTATTAATAAGGAAATTTTAAAAAGGCAAAGAAGTTGAGAAGTGGTGAGAAGAAAAGATTTAAGGGGAAAGGAGCCAGTAAGTACTAGCAGGAACAAATTCAATTATTCTGGATCCAGGCAGTCTGACATGTGGCAGACTCAAAACAGCAAAGTAACAACATAACATAAGAATATTACAGCATATAATTGGCAAAACATTAAGTAAGCATGCAACAGAAAAGCAATTTACCAATAACCTTAGATAAAAAGCATAATTCAACCCAAATAATGGAACGGTCTCACTGTGAGTCAATGGTCAATTGGGTCAAAGCAAATGTCCAAAGATCCAAAAATTGGTGCAAGCAGAAAAACCCGTTCTTTTCAGGCAAAAAGCATAAAATTTGCATCCTAGCTAGATTCTCAGCAGAACCTCCAGGACTTTGGGTTGGGTCAAACCCAAAGTCCTGGAACAAGAAAAGTATCCTTCAAGGGATGGAGAGGTTGCCAAGGCAGGCCTCCACAGATATGCTGAGCCTGTAGACTTTCATGTCTCTATGGGAATGCAGAAATGTGGGGTTTGCAGAACGCTTTCTAGAAGTTCACCAGTGAATGCTTTGAAGGTTTTGAAACAAATCTTGTTCCTTGTCATCAGGTTAGAAGAACAAGGTTCAGAGCTCCTGTGTGTCTGTTGGAGGCCGACTCCAAAGATGAGGCTTTGGTGAAGGAGCACACGCGCTACATTTCTCAGGTGGATGCGTATACCCTCCCCCTGGAACGAAGGTACACCTCGCTACATTTACCCCGTTATGGGTGCGAGGTGAAAGAGCGTAAGGGCGCTCAAGTGTATGCGAACACATCGGCACGCTGCCCCCTCCAGACGGGGTTTTGACGCCCCCTCTGGCATGCGATCCATGCCCACTTTTTGCACCACTGAGTTTAATTAATCTGATGGTTGATTTCATGTCTGAAAAAATGACAAAGGAGAAAAAGGTGTTGGGTGTGGAAAGGAGTGTTTGAAACAGATGAAGCACAAGTGAAGTTGCATTCTGCTGCCCCTTCTTTTGGCTTTATAAATACACCATGCAAAGCTGCCCTGAAGTTGTGAAGGATTTGTTAATGGCTGTGCTAATTGCAGTAAACACAAGTGGCGTTTGAGTCCTGCAACAGGCACAACACTCCTAATTAGGCTGCCACAGCCTCATTAGGGGCAATAAGAGGACAAAGGAAGAAGTCGGGAAATGTGCAAAGGAAATCAAGGAACACAGAGAGAAAGACAGCAAAAAGAGGACATGTCAGAGTAAAAGAGCAAAATGAGATTGGAACAAAAGGACACACGAGACTTTTAGAGTTATATATATATATATATATATATATATATATATATATATATATATATATATATGAGCAAACTGCCAAGACGATATGGAAATAAAACTGCATTAAAGGGGACATAACATGCAAAAGCCACTTTTGTAGCCTATAAGTTTTGTGAATTTTGTGTCTAGGAGTGCAAAAAATGTAAATGCATTCTCTCCCAGTGCTGCATAGATATTTTTAAATTCTTTTTGGGTTAAATTTTTAAGGCTCCATTCGGTAAAATCTTTACTTGGCTACGACATCAACACATTTGCTGTGGTACTGCTAAACAAGATCATGACTTCCGACTAATCAGTTTAGTGAATCTGCCATTTTTTATAGTCCAAGTTCAGTTATGCCGAAGTTGGAAGTAAACAAGTCAAAATGTTCTGTACTGGCATGTGTTATACCAAAGCATTGCAGTTCTGCTTTACATAGTGAATTATTTGCTTGTGAAAAAGGATTTAAAAGCAAACAATCGTGGATTCCACAGATCTGGTCTTTTTTAGACCAATCGTCATGTTGGGTTTAATATTTCGAGCCCATATGCAGAAACACTCACGGAGAGGAAATGCAAATAGTTTATTTACAAGTGACTCGACAGAGAAACAGAAATGATGACTGCGTTCAGGAACCCCGGAGCGGCTGCACATAAAAGGGAGATTGTGAGTTCAATGACGGTGGGAAACGACAAACACCTTGAAATATTGCTTAATGGCTTACTTGTTGTTGAAGGTTTGGATTGGTACCTGGTTGTAGAGATTGTGATGAGGGTGTTGGTTGGTTGAGGACGGACAGGTAAGTCAGAGTGAGGGCACCGAGGACCAACGAGGCAGACTTCCAGCCAGAGACTTGTTGGAGGCAAGTTCACAGAGCAGTGGAACTCGGGCATCTGATGAGTAAAACTCACGGCGTCACGAAAAGAGTAATCCAGAGTTTAGTGGACTCGAGAGGCTTTCCCAGAGGCATTTGAAGGCATCCTGAAAAGAGATTTACAAAGAGACTGGTCAAAAAAAACACGGAGAGCATGAAACGATTCTCAAGAAATAAATTTGACTCAGGGGGCTGGTGTACCACAAAAGGCAAACACTCTGGCAGAGAAGTACGTGAAGCCCGCTGCTCATATACTCCTCCTGGGTAATAATGATCTCAAACAGGTGCGTCCTGTTGGAACCTGTCAGCACGACCTCCTGACAAACCCGAACCGCTGGCAACCTCTGCTGGACAGTTGGTGATGCTGAAAAGGAAAACAAACTAGCCCCACAACCTGTTACCCAACATCAATCAGCTTGAAACCGTCACCGAGTTTGTATAACAGGAAAATATTCATCATAAAGTGCTTCGTAATACTGGCCCTTCTACTCATAGGAGGACTGCTGTTAACCCCACACCTTCTATATATGAAAGCTTTGGTCAGTCTGTCGACATGTCAGAAAAAGATCCTATCGCTCTAGCAGTGTGTTAATTCCCAGTACTCAGCCACGCCCCTAACTCCTCCCAAACTCCAGCGGACTGACTACTGACCAGCTCTCCGTCTCACGGGTCCGAAAAGTCTCTAATTCCTGGGTATTACCCCAAATAAGAAGGTAGAGAACTTTTGTTTAAGCTGGGAGAGAGAAAGATTCGTCTAAGCTCTAACTACCTTCATCCAGACGTTATGCCCCGCTTCAGTCCATGATTCAGACATCGGAGTAGCCCCGCCGATGTCCGAGCTCATAAACCACGTCTGTTCACAGCAGCTCTTTCTCTGTATTAACGTGCACTTGTTATAACTTAGATAATTT